ATGCCGACACGTTCATCTGTAACACCCTGTATGGCGAAGGTCTGAAGAAAAAGCTGGCTGATACAGAGGAGGAGAGACACAGGGGAGAAGACGGAGAGAGAGGGGGAGAGTTGACAGCTTTGGGTCTTGAAAGAAAGAGCTGTAGGAGAAAGGAATGAGTAAATTGCCTGACCGTTGCCTGCAGCTGTGCTGCACCTAAATTTAGACTTTTTACAGACACAGGTAAGTGAAGCAGAATACCCTACCGTCAACCTGCAGTAGCTGTCCAACGTCAAATGCTGCAGCGTACCAGAAAGACAATCAAAATTGTGCAAATTTAAACTGCTGTGTGGCTTGCAAATATGTCTCCAGTCATACGGCGGCGGGTCTGTTCATTTCATGGCCCTCTGCTGTGCATCAGAGAGTTTGCCAACCACTGGGTTAAAATGGAAAAATAGAAAATAGAAACAGACAGGGTTTTCTATAGAGCCTGCTTCTATGGGCATTCACTGTAAGAGCACACACCCTCTCTCAAAGCAAAAGGTCTTGTCTCGTATTAATTGATCTTCTAAATGAGCTGCGTGCAACATTTTGCCAGTATTTGAACGCACAAGACGAGAAGGTGGAGAGTAAGTGAGGAGAGACACAATAACATCTCTAACCACCTTTAGTATGTAGGATGAGCTCTTTTTAATATTCCCCTTTCTGCCCATCTGAATGTCAATCACAGAGGTGCATCCAGGTGATCAGCATTCCAGCTGCTTCCTGGAAAGGTTATAGGACCACTGCTGTGAGAGTTATGTTCCTGCCTGTTGCTAACCTGATGGTGTTTTAAATCATACCGACAGGTTAGAACGGCTGTCTCCAGGTTTGCTGAAAATCTCATGGGCTTTTTAGCAGTTAACCCACGACCTTGTCCTCTGTCCTGCGGCCTGTTCTGCCAGTACTGAATATATTTCAAAGGACTGTTGTTAGTGTTGCAGTGGAGCAACACTGACAGCATAGCTCAGAGAGAATCTCTGCAATGTACGTATGTGCAAAACAAACACAGGATTTTCGGCCAGGAGACCAAATTTTTGCATGTGAGTCGTTAGTGTCGCTAGTAATGTGAGTTGTTAGTCATGTGACTCGTTTGTCACTAGCTAGTCAAGTAAGTCGTTAGTCACTGGATAGTGACGTGAGTTGTTAGTCGGTCAAGTTAACGTCAATCATGCTCTTTCCCTCAACTTCCTGTGAAGACAGGTTTATTTAGAAAAGTCACAATGCATGTAATGAGTGGAAAGTGTCACGCTGTTCCTGCCAAGTACAAAACTAACGCAAGAGGGGTACCTAGAGCTAGCTAAGTTAGGACCACGGTCCATTCGTTCGGTATTTGAAGAGTTAGGAGTGAGAATGTGTTGTGAATATTCCTTCAGCTATTTGTAAAGTATCATCAAACAAATCATTATTCTTTTAGTGTTTCCGTCCATCCATGCAGAGGGTAGAATAGTAGATTTTGACTAGTTAGTTTAGCTGAGTATTTGGAGTAAAGCATTTCTTTATGACTGGGGGTCCTGTAGGAACAGTGACGCATCATCTGCATGAAGTGTCACAATTAGGGCATTTTGCCATCCCATTGGTGGTGATAATCGTAGGTGATATGTATACAGTCTCCTTAATAATGATTCACCAAACCTACATATTTATTATTTTGCAAATAAGAATTTCCAATTCACTCCTGCTGAGTTTTTTTTTTTAATGATTCTTGTTAGCTGATTGTCTCGAAATAGATTTTTGATGTGTGCAGAAAAGTTGTATTCATGGTAAACAATGAGAGTTCATATAAAGAAAGCAAGGCTGTATATGCTAACCCCTTCAGCTTTTCACACATTAAGACCCCACAAATCGAGGGCTTTTACTTCCCGAACATCAGACGCTTTGATCTAACCCTAGTCCTGAGAACAATCTAATTTTTTGTCTTGTTTTCTTCCATTAACAAAAAAAAAAAAAAACAGTCACTCTGCAAGTCTTCAGAAGAATCTATTGATGTTCTGTTAAAGTCAACCCCACTCGTCTTTCTTCTCCCTTAGCTCCCCTCTCTACAGCAGCCTCAACAGAAGCTGAACCAATTCATTAGCAGGCTCAGAAAGTCAATTATGCTAATGGTTTCCTTTGCCAGGGGAGGTGGAAACTCAGCAAAGCCAGATACTTTTTATTGCACTTCTACACAATTTCTTCTATATATTTTATTTAGACCTCTATTAAGTGGGCAAATCGATCTTCTGAAGTAAAGAGGGCAAAATGACTTGAGAGAAGAGGAGAGGATGAGAAAGGAGGCGTTGGTTTTAGCAGTCAAGCTCAGGCAAAGTGATGATGGAGGAAGGATAAACCCAGTGTCAGGAGACCATCAACAGGAATCCCACTTACTTATTCATGCAGCAGCCGAGCATCAGGGAATCTCCCAGCCTCATTATGAAATGTGCGTCGCAACAGCTCACACAGCAGTGCAGCTCTTGCTTGAAAGCCTTTGCTTATCCACTACACTCTCCTCCCTTCCTTCTATCTTTTTTAGATCAGATCGCTCTAGGGAAGCAATGTCATGCTTCATTCATCGAGACGCCTCTCCCACTGTCCTAAATCCCTCTCCGTTTTCTCTGAAAGGGAAGGCTTGGCTAATTTCAACAAGTTTGTGTAGCTGGCACAGAAGGGAGCAGATGCCTGAGCTGACATTTGCATTTACTTATTGTCTGTTTTTGTGCCAAAAGAGAGTTGCAAGCACAGAAATGAGAGCATTGAACCACTGTGCAACAGCATTTAAAGCATGCATTTTAATCAAATATGCTGAAATAAACATTTCCTGGGACATTTTACACTGCTGCACAAAACACAACAATTGCATTGGTGTCATATATTCATTGATTATCTAATACCTTTTAAAACGACGTATTCTCTGCCAGCTATATTGCTCTCAGGTCATCTTAATTTCTTCTTTTATATTGGCATCTCTATCGTGCGCAACCGAAAATGTCCTCTTGCAGTGTGAGCAGAATGCAGCATTTTCACTGTGGGGTATTTAGCGAGGGAAGAAGTAAGCGTCCTTCAGCTTTCTCTTCGGCATGACAGCTAGCTGCTAGCGTACTGACAGGTTCTGTCGCAAAGTGTCATAGCAACAGCCTTGACAATGACACATTGATTGAGTGATACACATACAGACACATACGTGTTGAATTCAGACATGTGGTGAATTGTTTATGTTTTTTATATTGGGTTAGGTAATAATGAATGGGACAGAAAATGAAAAACAGATCAATGAACGAATGTTTGTCTGGACTTGGGATACACAGCTTGAAACTTGGACAATCCTGGACAACCCCAGTTATACTTAGTTGTCCTTTTTAGCTGACAAAATCCACAGTCACCTGCTAGAAAAGAATAGCCTGCTTCTGTCTACCTCTGAACTAAATCAAGGACACAGTGTTACAAAGAATTTTGAGAAAGTTTGACCTCGCATGCTACTCACAAATACAGCTTAATTTGAACTAAAATTCCTCTCAGATGAAAATATCTCCACAATATAAACTTGCAGCCCTGCTGTGTCCTTGAATATACCTTTGCAGTTCAAAGATCGCTCCTTGTACTCCAGCTCATTTCAGAGTACAGGTGGAATCTATTTGTATTTCTGCCTCGTATGCCACTTGGACACCGCGGTGCTCTTCCAGATTCATTTCTGTGCCTTCTTCCTCGGGCCCAGAGGGAGATAAAGAGTCAGGCCTCTTCACTGGAGCTCGGCAGCCACCATTAGAGTGACTAGACTGGGTTGACCCGTGGCATGAAATTAAGAAGCTGAGGCCCATTGAGCAGCCCAACTGATGGAGGCAGAGGATAATAAATCCAGTGAGAAAGAGGAGGAGAGGGAACGAAGGAGGGGGGTGGAATGGATGTGGCAGCCCATGATGCAGCCTCAGGGGCACTCAGGATCCCTTTATTAGCATGGCTATTTTCACCCTCTCCTTCAACAGCCTGTCTTTTCATTGAACACAAGCATCAACATGCATGTGGGATTAACTCGAAATAAACTACAGTAATGAAGGAACCTGTCACCCAGGTGAAGCTAACAGATGTTTTTAATGATGTTTTTAGGGAAGACAGTGAAAAATATCATATTTACCTGGATCTTTTGAGTTTTTGAGTCCTTGCACAGTAAATCTGTCGGTGTGTTGTTTGTTTAGCCTCACCATTGTGTGTGAGACAGTGGTGTGAAAAAGCAAAAGGAGAGTGGGAGGGACCGCGTGATTAAACACAAAAGTTGGCCGAGATTCATGCAATCCGACGCAATGCTGGAGCAAAGGGAGCGCTTCTCTGAGGGCTTTTCATAACCCTCTGTTTAGAATTACTGCTTATGTAATCATCGTCTCTGTCCTGAGGTCTGACTGGTCGGCATTCGAGCGCCCAAGCGGCCGTGCACCATGAAATGAGGAAAAGCCTGGAAAATGTCGTGGCATCACATCTGAAAACCCTTTGCATTAACTGCTGTCATACTCATTACGACACACAGCTCGGATGCTGCATAAAATGACTGTAAACAAATACTTTTCTTATCTTTAATACAGCCTCCACAGAGAGAGGGAGAGGCGCCGCTGAATCTTCCTAAAAAGCCAATTATTTGCTTTAAATTAAAGAGCAGAGCTTTAAATATGACAGTCTGACAGCATACATAAACCTGGTTTAAAAAATACATAATGACACAAAACCAGTCCTGCCTGACTCATTTTTAATTGACTTTTATTCTTACAAAATCCTTCTCTCTTCAGTATAATCATTGAAAAAGTTTAAAAGGTCTGGTTATCTACACTTTAATAATTAAAGACACCCAACTTAAGCAGATTTTAATGGAAGTCTTGGCTTGAAGTCAAAGTTCTAATCCTGGTGTTATTATAATAAAATCTGATTCCTGCCAGTGTCTTTGCCATCTGTTCTTTTTGACTTAATATCATGTTTTCTTTCTTCCTCTCCTCCCATCTGCCTTTCTTTCTGGTCTGCAGGATTTTAAGGACACAGTCGCTTGAATGGTACTATAACAACGTGAAGGGTCGCTTCAAGAGGTTCGGCAGCGCCAAGGTTTTGAAGACTCTGTATAGAAAGCACATTATAGAGAGAGGAGCGCTCTCTGATCTCCCAGGTAACTGCATCCTCTCGCATACTTTTTAATCAGCCATGCATGATCTTTATCTATTGCCATCCCTAACTGTTTTTTTTGTTTTTTTCTTCTATCTTTTAATCATTATCGTCCGCATCCTTTTGATTGCAGAGCGGCCTTCTGTCTCCGTGCAATGTTGTGTTGCTTTGTGTTAAACGCCAGTTTGGCCAGAGACGTAATATAACTTCCTCGAGCAACTTCGTTTGAGATGCAAGGTTCTGGTCGCAGTAAACACAGACGAGCACACTTGATTGCTCATTAGTTTGCTTTGATAAATGATCACTCACTATGTTTCACACATTTTGACACTCTGACTGATTAATTAATTACTTTCTCACTGGCATGTAGGAACAAAGATTTTCTCACAGTCAAACACACTCACATGCACACACATCTGGGTTATGTTCAGAGTGGGCTCGAGCTGTTTTCACCTCTCTTTACCCTTTTAATTTATTTGATCACAATGTGGTTGCATTTATTCGAGGAAACCACTGTCTTCCATGCGGCAGTTAAATTTAGAAAACACTCATGTGGTCTTGAATTTTCTGTGTGTCGGTGTTTGTGTGCGAGTGTGTCAGCGATGATGATGGTGATAGACATGGTGATAGATGGTGGCCAGTTAAGCCCTGCGGGGGCTCAGGCCACTTTAGCCTCCTCAGTGAATTGTTCCTGTGCAGGACGGCAGCAGGGCAGCTTTTATTCGCCTCCCGCGCTCCAGATAACATTGTTTTGACCCAACTGCAACATGATCGGTCTGCGTCTGTTGCTGACTACAAGGCATTATTTCAAAGCCTGGTACATAGGATTAAATGGATGAAGGGAGCACAGAGGGGACAAATCAGGTCGGACTTGAGGCAGAACTGGATGATGTTGAGATGAGGGGATGTTTAGGAATACACCATGACCACAACAAAAAAACAGTTTTATCATTGTTATGTATTATTCTATAATTACATCTGCAACTTTGTAACCCACACAGTAGAGATTACAGCTACAGTATAACTAGCAAAATCCGTCACTATTACATTTTCCTTTTTGCAGACAGCTCGTCTAGCCGTTGTGAAAGCTGTCATGTCTTTACGGGATAAAATAGCTAGATTTGGCTCACTGGAAATCTAAAAATATGCCGGTCAGAAAGAAGCTTACAAGTATTTAGCCTAATAACATAATGTTTGTTCAGTTCACATCTATATTGTCCCAAGAATTAACTTTTCAGTGAGGCAGCACAAAAACAGCATTAAAAGAAAGGACAAGACAGAAAAGAATAAAATATTGATGAGATAAAAGCAAGGGAAACGGTACAAATAAGAGTAGAGATAACCATTGAGGTGGATTTAGTACTTTAGTTGTTTTGTAGATAAACTGTATGTGTTATGATCTGCAGTGTAAGAAAGCCAAAACTAAAGGCACAAAATACAGCAATGGCTACATTTACATTGACATTTTTTACATTTTACAGTTAATTTACTCCATTTTACTAACATGACAGAATTGGACTCAAAGATAGAAGCTTTCCCAGGACAATTAGGATTTTTGCTGTGATCATAGCTTCTACTGTTATATATACCGTATACGATTCTTCTTTTAAACCTGCATTTTGTTTTATTTACTCCCCCTAATCATCTATCCCCCTCCACTCTTACTAGCTCTCTACTTTCTCCTCTCCTCTCCTCTCTTACATCATCTGGGGTGGAGGAGGAAGGATTAAGCGCCTCAGCTGCTGGTCTCCCAGCTCACATGAGCCCAACAGATTAAACCGCTTCCAATTCTCAAATACTCGCAACGCTGCTCCCACTAACTGGCTAGCTGACTTGCCATATGATTATGGATATATTGTGATGCGTGTGTATGTTGCTTGTGTGTATCTGAATATAAAAGCAGATAGTGTCGGCTTGTATAAGAGAAATGTTAAGATTTATTGTCTGGCAAAGATCTTCCCCCGAGTTATGGTATAATATTTTTTTCTGTTTTGTGTATTCTTACATAGGAATATCTTGTTCCACCACCCCCTCCCTGTAATATATCAGATTGAATTAAAAGGGATTGTGAAAACGTCAAAACAAAGTCATGGCTAGACCTGTCAAAAATATGATTGGGTTTTGATTTATTTGAAAGAAAATGCCTTTTAGAACCTCTTTTGCAGAAAATAATTGGACATGTCAAGTATTAGAACAAGCTTTTACCAGCAAGAGATTATCATGATCCATGAGGACGTCTGTGCTTTCAATTGAGCAGAACATAATGAGATTTTACTTCAGCAAGTAAATCAGCGCAAGATTGGAAAGAAAAATCTATTAGATAAAGATGTTGCTCATTAACGCACTGATGTTGCAGCATCTCGTTTGGTTTACTTTACTCCAAGAAAAGGAGCTTTTATTATGTAGCCACTCTGCCAGAGTCTTAATACAGGCCCTCTCTCTTAATGCATATAGAAAAGCAGCTGCAGGACCGTAAAACATTCTCATAAACCGTTTGCCAACCAGATGTGAAATATATAGGCTCCCTCTATTCGTGTGCTAGTAAAGCTGATTTCTTTTATCATCACCAATGCTTATGAAATCAGTTATGTACGAGTGTGAAATGGCAGCTGAGATGACAGTCGGTGAGAGAGATGGGACTGTTTTACGTCTATCATGTCCCCGGAGAGAATGTTTGACCTTCAAACCAACAGGAAGACAACAAGGAGGGAATGATTTCCTGTCCATCATCTCCGGTGGAAGGGAGTAATGCTCCTGTGTGACCTGTTACAAATACCATACTGTCCTCTGGGTGTATATACTGTATATATACACCCATATATATACACACAACCACACACACACACACACTCAGGAGAAAGTGAGAGTGTCAGTGACCACATACGGTCCTGTAAAGAGGAACAAATAACACATCAGAGAAGAAAAGATTTGAATGGAATCATCCATCTATTACACTTGTTTGCTTGAGCAGCTGAAGTTCTTTTAACTGATTAAAGTACCTCATTAAGTGGATCGGCAGATGCCAAGCACTGATCCAAGTACCTATTACATTAGTAATAAATGCCTTGACGCCAGTACAGCATGAAATGAAAAGGTTGTGTTTACTCATCATACATCAATGAAACACTGTGGCACTAAACACTCTTAGCCTTTGGTGCACAAAACGCTACGTGTCAACAAGCTGAAATTTTGAAATGAGATGTTACAGTGCATTATACTCCTTTGACTCGTGCAATATACTCCTTTGCTTTGCCGTGGCTGTGCGTCTCTCTTAAATTGATCCGAGGGATACTGTGTTCGTTACGGCAGCAAAAAATATACTGAAGCAATTAAAGTAACAGAGTAAAAAATAAAAATATTAAGTATAAAAATGCACAGTATGTACAATGAAATAGTATAGTATTAAATTAACTAACTAAACAGTCGTGCAAAGATTAACCAACAGCAAACAAACAACAGTGTAGTGGTGTTATAGTTGTGTGGATGATCTGGCCGGAGGGGATTTATTATAAAGTCTTATTGCAGTTGGCAGGAATGTTCTCCTGTATCTGTCCTTGTGACAGCGGAGCTGGATGAGTCTGTTGGAGAAAAGTGCTCCGCTGTCCCTGCAGTAGGTGGTCAAAAGCAGGAATCATGAATTTTTAAACTTAAATCTCATTCATTTCAAACGGAGGATTACTGTTGTCCCACTTTTCTCCTGCCTTTTGTTTGCTGTCACGTCCAAATGATTGTGAGAGGCTTCCCTCCTATCTAGTGAGATGACGGTAACTCGAGAAATGTTCAAACATATTATCACCTTCAAACATGCTGTTCTCTGTGGTGAGAAAATTGAGAGAGAGAGAGAGAGAGAGAGATAGAGTGGAGAATCAGTGCAGTCTTTTGAAGCTTTCTGTGGCCGCCGCCGTCTTTTCAGTAGGATAACAAAGGAAGAGATGATGTCCTTGTGTATGTGGGATCGAGACTCAACCCCACCTGAAAGCATCAGAGAATGCAGTTATGCACTTAATAACCTAGCAAGACACGTTTCAGAAAGACACCCTAATTTGTCTTTGTTTTTTTTGTACAATTCGATTTTTATTATTAAAAAAACTAAAACGTACTCTTTCACCAGTGCGGTTTTTCTCTCTCTTCCTCGATGTGCTCCGGGTGTGCCTGTGTTTTTATGCTAGCATTGTTTCATCACTGAGGTTAAATAAAGAATGTAGAATAGGAAGGGAGGATTTTGCTCGAGAATTCCAGTTGAATTCCACAAGAGTGAGCGTTGTGTGCTATGCTGCTGATCCATTTCTGTACAAATGAGTGGTTACTGAGCCAAAACCGGCCTCAACTTTCAACATTGAACTACAGCGCAGTAGGTTAGATGTGGCTAGTCTTGAGTCAGTGACCTTGGTTCTACTACTGTTCTCCTCTGCCTAAATAGCGAAGCAGAATGACGTAAACAAACACGTGGACCTCTTGATTCACCTCAATAGATTTGTACTAATTCAAGGCTTCCTACAGCGCCTTTAAAAGATAACCGTACTGTAATATGGCTCAAGTACTTCACACACATTAACAGGCGTAATGTCACTTTTTTTAAACATTTCTGTTGCCTGTGTTCCATGAGCAGAAAGCTTGGTGACTCAGAGTACAGTGTTTTGTCTATAGGGATTGGAAGGCAGAATGTTAAACAGGAGCCCACAGCTACTGCTGTCAAAAAATACAGGGCTCAGACCACATTGTTGTCAAGAATGCAACTGCAACTCTGTGTGTGTGGTACTGACAACTATGCACACTCGTCAGCTTGCCTGCATCCATGGACAAATGTGTTTCAAATGAAGGAGATGTACTGAAAACTCTGACCTTTAGCAGCTAAACCTGGCATATGTGAGGTCATATAATGCCTGCTTTAGATATGAGAAACAGCCATTGTTTTATACTAATATTTGTGGTGTTTTTAATCCTAATATAGCTTAAATCCCACACTTCTTCATATCTGCTGGAAACAGAAGAAAACGGAGCCAT